ATCTTATTTAAAACACGAGAGATAGTGAAAAAAAAAACAACGAAACCGTTCATTAGTTTACGAGTATCTTGTGTTAAGTTAAAATTATTATTTAAAAATAAAAAAGATATTTCTTTTGGCTCAGGATGGCAGAATAGCATTTAAACTCAAAATTAAATCAAAATAGGAAATATCTTCCTGCTTATATTACTAACCATAATGGAATAGTGGCAATTGAATGTTTTTTTTTTTTTTTGGATTATTTGTGTATTGATAAATATTACAATCTGTCTCAATAAAGGACATTAATAACAGAGTTCTGAGAGCACATTCACACAATATTTACAAATTCAAAAATATAAAAATATAGATAATAGTAATAATAGAATGAAAATAAATGAATAAAATAGAATTAAAATTATCTTTAAAAAAAAAGTAATGAAAATTAACATCTTAGATGCACTCATACCTATTTACAGATTTATTATTGAAGGAAGTTAGTCGACTGTTCTACATTAATAGTTGATATTAATTAATTCATTAATTAATAGTTCAAACCAAGCATGTGCACTCACATGAGTACTTGAAAACCTTCATTACTGGAGACATGCTACGATGATGACGCACATGCTTGGGTTGAAACGTCGGCAACAATAAAAATCTTGAAATGTCTTCTTCCTGATTATTTATCAACAGTGGCATAGCTGGGAAACCTTTTTATCACTAAAAGCCAAAGTAATGTTAGGCAGGGCTAATGGATGCCGCAATATTTTATTTTATTTACTGCTACTGTTTTTATTTACCACTAAATACACACACACACACACACACATACATACATTGAACTTAATTCTGTTAATTTTCAAATTGTCATTACTTAAATAATTAAATATTAATCAACTATAACACGAAATAAAATCGCGCAAAAATATTTGGAGGCCGCAACTACGTCACAGAAGCCACATGCGGTCTCCATGGTCACAGTTCTCCACCTAAGAACTATAGTAATTGATATATTTCATATTTTCACATAAATTTATCTTTTCTCATTTTCCATATTTAGTGTTATTATTCCTAGATCTAACGCAATATTTAAATTAAATACAAAATACAGTTCTATCTTCGTTTGTTTTCTTTTTATTTGTCAATCTAACAGCTGATATATTAAGATTTGTAAAAATGGAGCGTTACAATAGCAAACAACCTGTTCTCATTGTAAAATATTTTTAAAAAATGAAAATCTTGCGGCCGCTTGTCTTGCTTCGACATTGACACTCAAACGCCTTGTTTTTGGACGACTACTGTTTTTAACATCGCAAATCGATCCAGTCTGCTTGAATTTCTCAATCACTCCCTTCAAAGTTGATGAAGTTAAATCATTATTCCGACCATATTTTTTTACGAAATTTTCGAACTGTCGAAGTAGACTTGGCTTTTAAAATATTGTTCAAAAATGACAACACATTATTCGCTCGTTCAATGCTCCATTTTTACTAATCCTAAACTATCAGCTTTTGATCTGACAAAGAAAATGAAATGAAACGAAGAAATAACTGTGTTTTATATTTAATTTAAATATTGCATTAATTTTCGGACACCGTTTAGTTTAAAATAGGCTTGATGAAAAACTACAGCTTAAGCCGAAACGCTGACAAACATTATAGGAGTATAATGTTATTCTTACGTGTTTATTTTCCGACTGGACCCTCTGTTGTTATAATGTACATTTTACAAGACATAATTACCCCTAAAAACCATTATTAGCAAGAGATTTTCACAGTAGAAAATATAAACAGTCGGGGATTGTTGCCATACAGTAGAAAGAGGGTTGGCATAAGGAAACAGACTGGCTTTTATACACTTACTCCTCGTTATTATTCAGAAACCGCAGGGGTACGGGAGACTGAATATTCAACCCACTACTCCACCCCTGCCGACGGAATTTAAATTTTTAAATTTGATATATGGCTTCTGTAGATTTTCCAGCCAATAAACTGATATTTTTAGAATAGCATTTGAATGAAAGAAATATGTGAGAAGGAAATGCATATAAAAAAAAATACATATAGAGGAAAATGCAGTCCAAATGAAGATAGAAGGAACTGAGTTGAATCATAAATTTTACAAGTTACCTAGCTCGAAAGTATGTTTTATCTGAATATTTCTATGCTATAAATATTCACAATTGTCAATAATGCCATGTCATAACGTTTACTTATCTATCGAGGAGTCAAGAAAATATGTCGAAAATGATAATGTTGAGAAAATAACTATTAAATCTGAGACTTTTACGATATTTTATAATTTATGTTTAATTATGCTACTGGGTTAGTTATGATCTCGTTATAAAATTAAAAATATGTCAATAGAACTCAAATTATTTCTTACCGATGGCTTCATACCTTATTACTCTACTAACTTCAACATTCACAGCCTTTTGTCACCATATACAAACTTTTAGGACTCTAAATGTAACACGAAATTGCACAAATCCTTCCTATCAAATTAAAATCAAAATATAAATTAGAAATGTTTGAGAAGATTTGTTTTTACTTTTAACTCATAAAATCCAAAAATGATTTATATGGATTTTTTTTTTGGCTTTTGCCAAAGTCGTCGGTCATTCGGCCATATATATATATATATATATATATATATATATATATATATATTTAAAAATTTAATGGATGCAGAGCATCTAGATACATGTCCGTCAAGGCAGCTCTGCATCCATTCTTCTTTGTTGTAAATATCCATTCTGCATATTTACAACTTTGTGGAGACGACTCTGCAGATAGTCGTGTCCAGTGGCCAGGCGGAAGTAGGTTACTGCATCTCTTCTAGGAACTTTAGCTGCGATCTGATTATCTATCAAACGCTCATAACTTTCGACTTTGTCCATGTATGCTTTTTTTATTTCGTACGGCTTTGGATGTATCGGCTGAGGCAAATCTGTTCCTCTCTTGGCAAGACTATCAGCCCCAAAGTTTCCCGTAACCGCGCAATGGCTAGGAATCCACTGTAGGTAGGTCCACATTAGTGTCAGGTTACAGAGGAGGGATTTGCACTTCAATGTAGTACTCGATAGACATTTATTCGTGTTTGTAACAGCGAGGATGGCTGATAGAGTGTCGATGAAGAGAACAGCGCTCTGGTCCCGCCTTCTAGACAATGTTCTTGAGGCTATTTTATTTATTTATTTATTTCCACCCTTCCATCCATATATGATGTCCTTAAACCGCGGGAAATTTTCCTCACTGACTAACTGAGGAAACTCATTTTCAGTGAGGACATAGATTCCCGCGGCTCTTGTCATTGTCGCTCTTAACGTTTCAAATGCGGTGCAGGTCGTGACCACATGCTCTACAGTTTCCGGAACACTACAGATTGGGCATAGAGGATCTACATCAATGCCCAGACCGTGATGTTTAGCTCGAAATCCTCCATGCCCCGTGAGGAACTGGGAAATCCAGTAGTCCGGGAGGACCCACTTTGCCTGAAGCCTCGACTGTACTAGGGGAAAGTACTTCCTCAATGTACTTCCTTTAGAGGTTGTTACCCACCGCCGGTTCCATGCTTCAATTGTATCCTCCCGGAGTATCTTCTTCCACCTATTAGGCGCTTCCATAATCCTCATCTGTAGATTGTCCGAAAGTACTGTAGAGCCTTCTATCTTGTAAGAATATTTCGTCACATCTTCTAGTAGGAGGAGGTCGAGAGGCACCACCCCCGCTAGAAACTGCACCGCTTCATGCGAAGTTGTCCTATTTGCTCTGGTGACCCGAAGCAGAGCTGTCTTCTGAGTCGAGGCTAGCCTTTTTTTTGTCGTAGTGTGAGTTACGGAACCAGAAGGGAGACGCATACCTCAGGATACCTTCCACGACATCTTTATATATCGTGATTGTGGCTGGATACCTAAGGCCCCAGAATGCGCCTCCCACGCGAGTTAGACCGTTCATTGCTAGGGACACCCTACCTGCCACATATTCCAAGTGAGGTGTCACATTTTGGCCTAAACCTAACCTAACTCCTAGGTAGATTACCACCTCACTTGGACGTATCCTCTGGCCTTCTATATTCATTGTTATAGGGTGTGCCCTGTCAGTCTTGCCCTTGAGGAGAATGGCTTGAGTCTTGGCAGCAGCCATCCTCATTTTCTTCCCTTCACACCACCTCGCGACCAGGCTAGCGCATCGCTCTGCTACTGTCTTGACTCCAGCTCTGCTGTTTGAGGCCACCACAGCAGCTTGGTCATCAACATAGGCAGTAGCAGGGAACCGCTCTTCCTCTAACACTCCCAGCAATTCATCGAAGACAAGCTTCCACAGAGCAGGGCCAAGGACTGATCCCTGAGGGCATCCCCTCTCTATGGAAGCTTCTACCTCATAGTGATTCCCTCTGATCTTGACACAGCTGTCCTGGAGGTAGCTTGGTCATTACAAGTGAGTATAAATTGCTGGGAGCATCGTATTTCTGCAGCTGCTTGAGCACGCTAGACCACCATACACTGTCGAAGGCGGAAGATATATCAAAAAGCAATAGCATAACATAACGTTCCGCCCTCTCTTCAACATCTTGGCGCACTCTCTGTCCATCTGCACAGATATGTAGCCGATCTTAAGGAGGGTGCTGTTGAACTATAGTTTCTAGTACTAATGCTTTCAGCTCGTATTTAGATGTTTCTTTCTTATCCACCTCATGAAGGAGTTGTGATGAGGCTTCTCAGGTATCAAAATATTTTTCAATGTAAAATTACAAAAATAGAAAAAACAATCAAACAAAGAAATAACATTGATTGAAATCGGTGATCTACTGATCTTGACTTCACTTTGTTAGTTAAACTTTAAAACAAGTCAAATTGAGCGTCCATTTAAACTGCAATCGTTTATCTGACCATTGATGCTGATTATTCAGTTTTATAGTATAAAATAGACTTAATTAAAACGATGCACCAGAGAAAAGTTTTAACTTGGAATATAAATAAATAATATCTAATACCTAAATAAAGAAAAGTATAAAGCTTATAAATTGTGTTCTAAGATCTGGTTCGCAGTTAGTTCAGAGGAGTGGAAGGTTAAGAAAGTCAACCTAGTTTCTCCTAGACCTATTGCTGCTATTTTTGTCTTTGATCTGTGCTCAGGAAGGTCGTTATGGAAGGCCTGAATGGAATAAATAATTACCTACAGCCAGACTCAAATCAGAGCTCAGTAGATAGAAAAATAATAAATAATAAATCAATATAATATGAATAATAATGGAATTCCGAAAAATGATAACTTTAATCGAATCTCCTGCAATATTATTTCACCTAATTGAAAGAAATTGAGAACAAATATGATTTCTAAACGGCACTGCTACGAATCATCAAATAGACAATGTTTTTGTCTACAAATACAAAATACGAATAAATTTTCTTCAATAGACAATCTTCCTCTTATTGTTATTTTTTTCATCTAGAACATCTCATAGTGACTATTACAACAAATTAATTAAAAGTTCACTAAACCACGAACCCCAAGCCTTCAAGCCTTCAAGCCTTCTTTCAATTAAAAATACTGATGCCAAACTTCCTTGCAACTTTATTTTCAGTGGGATCTAAAGTTTTGGGGAAAACTAGATAACAATTCGAATACACACAACCAATTATTTTTAAATTAACAGATAGCCTTCACATTAAAAGTAATCCAACAGATAATATGTTAATTTGCCTGAAAACTGATTTTTCTCACTGAATGTCCGTTATAATCCGTGGTATAGGCCCTTTTTTATCGAATTATAAAAAAATCACCATGGAATGGCTTCATCTTATCGTAACCTACAATTTTTTTATCTATGAAAATGAAGTGATATAAAAAGGAAGACTACAACGGTCTGACCATGTTATAAAGTTGAATCCGGAAATATTTTCGTAGGATAATTAATGATGTGGTATATGCAATCAGGAAAGTCGGTCGTCCGAAGCTTAGATGGAAAGATTAAGTGGCTATAGATGCCTGGAGTCGAATAATGTTTTACCCGAAATCGCAAGTTGGCGGCAGCATGGATCAGGCGAGGTATCATGACTTGAAACATACTGCCTTATAACAATAATAATTATTATTATACCATACTCCTTGGAATCATAAGAGGAATTATTATTTTTGACATAATATTTACTTAATGCTGATGCTATTTTACGTTAGTCAAACTGTTTACACGCTTTTAAGGTAAAAGCATCTATGGAGGGATAAAATATTACCAGGAAAAAACATCCTCTGGAGATCTTGTGGCAAGCTCTTATCTCGTGGAGGTGGTCCCAATATTGTTGAGGGTCGGTAAGGGGATCCTTTTCGGTCCCGTAGTGCATATCCACCAGCTCCACCTGCCAACACAATAATATATCACAATGTTTATAAAAAATAAATGTTAAATTTTTGTTAAGATTTATATATCTATCAACTATTCTGTGATTTATCATATAATTACTATCTATTACATGCAGTAAATAACCCTTGCATAATGTGAAGTATAAAATATCCACAGTGAAATATATAATATTAAGATAATTTATATTTTAATTGGTACAATTAAGTTTACAAAAATTGGAATTACGTAAAAAGAATACATATTCTATCTGAGAGCACTTACGTATATTTATTTAATAAAATTTTCATTTCCTTTAATTTTAACAGAATTATGATTGATTTTATTTATGAGATGAATTCCATTACGATACTGCTTCCAATTTCCATTAGTTTATTTGTATTGAATTATTTTATGAACTATTCTTTCTCAAGTCCAAAAAAATATATTAGCTTAACTAAGCGCTAGAAATTAACTAATTAAATTTCCATTTTAAGGAATTAAACGCACTTATTTTTATTTACATAAAACCTACACAATTGTTGTTTGCCTTTCTTATGGACCCTATAAAAAAAATTATTATTTTTTTATTTTTTATTGAACAGTAAATAGTACAATCTGCCACATTGAAGGGCAATAAGTAACAAGGCTTAATGTGTTCATTCATACCATATATACAGGAAAATAAAAAATAAAATAAATGAGTAAACTAAGAAAAAATAAATATAAAAATAGAATAAAATACATAAATAATATATAAGCAAAATAAGAAATGAATTAAGAAGTTAAAGTACAATAAATCTTCTTCGATTCATTCATCGACATACATTCATACATTCATTCCTATGCACAAATATGTTGGTCTTGAAATTTTTTTTTTGGAGGGGAGAGTAAGAGAGAGAGAGAGAGAGAGAGAAAGAGAGCGAGAGAGAGAGTGAGACAGCAATTTGCTTAACGGTCTTGCAATGAACAAACATGGAATAAAATTAAAATTATGAAAACTCCTTTTACATTACAACTTCTCTAAATCCTCTCCTAGCTCTATATTAAACATTGTAACATTTTCACTTACCATACATCTATGCTAAGTGAAAGTATTACGATTTGAAAAAAAAACAAAACGATTTAGAGTTTCAATGAAAATAGACTTTTCAAGGTTTCTTGGTTCTTCTTCTTTGTCCACCTGTTACAACAATTTTATTTCTAAAACCGTCTAAAGCTTTAAGTAATCAGAAGTGTCACTTTTTATCATCGATTTTACACTTCTTTACGATTTCGCAAAAAACAGCCATAACGATTTATGTCGCTCTCATTATATCAATGTAAAGTCAAATAGTAATCAACATAATTTAATATTTGATATTTATCTATGTGTTTTTGTTTTAATTTATTAATTTTTAAGTTATTGTATATATTATTATTTTTTTGTTTAATTTATTTTTATTTATTGTACATGGAGTGTGAATGCGATCTCTGAACACTATTATAAATGTCCTTTAAGACACGTTGTAATATTTCTTAATAAACAAGTTTTGTGTCTGAATAAAAAAAAAAAAAAAAAAAAAAATGAGGAGCGAGAAAGTCGGTGAATTTAGGAATTCTTCTTCTATTCTCCATTTAGAAAGACGGTTATTCATTCAGTTACAACAGTTGAGAATCATATCTGAGATTTTGAGACTAGGATCTAGTCTTTATAATCGCGGATTTCATGTCGATGTTTGAATTTAAGTTAACACAGTAATTTGTCCTGGAGATACTTTACAAAATCCACCAAAACTTAGCCTCTATGTCCTTTCTCTTCCCATTCCCATTGCTAACTCACGGACAAATTATTCAATATAAATGGCATGGGTATATATTCATTTTCTTGACTAAAGCAATGCTGGATTTACTTTTTCTGTTTAAATGAATACTTTTTTATCTCTCTATCTGCAATGTGCTTTAGTTATTGTTCTATTAAATATTTCACTGGATGAAATAAAATTTACTTAATGGATCTTTGTGGCTGTCTAATGTATCTGTGAAGTGTAGGTCAAAATGAACTTATGTAAGTTTTAAATTCTTGTCCAGGTTTCAAATGTGAATGGCTTGATGAACTTAGTATAATAGTTTTACAGACCGAGAGCTCGTGCAAAAAAATTATGTCAAGTAAAAATACACGTGTTTTAAGCAAAAATGACTACAATTAATTATTGCATCATCATCGTCATCCGTGGCGCTACAGCCCAGTTTGGACCTTGGCCTCCTCAATGAGCCTTCGCCATGTAGCTCGGTCTTGTGCGGCCGCTCTCCAGTTGCGGACATTCAGAAGTTCCCAGGAATCCCTGATGACAGCATCCTCCCATCTCAGCCTTGGCCTGCCTCTTCCTCTGGTCCGATGCAGCCTACGAGTCCAGCAACTTCCTCGGGATCTCATCCGCTTGCATCCTGACGACATGGCCAGCCCAGCGCAGCCTCCCCAGCCTTATGTGCCGCATCACATCTCTCTCACCGAACAGCTCGTAGACCTCCCTGTTGGTTCGCCTCTCCAATTCTCGCCTACCTTGACACCACCAAATATTCGGCGCAGAATTTTTCTTTCGAAGATAAAGATCTCCTTTTCTTCAGCACTTGTCAGGGTCCATGCTTCCGATCCGTAAGTGAGGACTGGCCGGATTAGTGTCTTGTAGAGCTGGCATTTGGTGAGGCATGTGACAGCTCGACTCCTCAAGTGCTCCTAAGTCCAAAATAGCATCTATTGGCCTTCACTAGGCGCTGGTTTGTTTCCAGAGTGATCCTGTTATTGCTGCTGACCACTGAACTGCTCTGCACATCCAAACGAAAGACATTAGCCACTACACCTGGTCCAGCTCGCATATATTTAGTTTTCTCTTGGCTCACCGTCATGCCCATTACTTCTGCTGCTTCAGCTAGCCTCAGGAATCCCTCCATCAGTGCCTGAAAGGATCTCGCCACCAGGTCCAAGTCATCGGCAAATCCCAGCACCTGTACCAGCCTGTCAATGATTGTTCCAGAGGTTTGTATTCCGGAATCCCTAATTACCTTTTCGAGGACCAGATTAAACAAGAGACACGCGAGGCCATCGCCCTGCCTCACTCCCTTCCTGGACTCAAATTCTGGTGAGAGATCTCGCCTGAATCCGAACTGAGCATTTCAGCTAATCCATTGTGATCCTTATTAGGCGCACCAGTTTGGGAGGTATCCCCAGACCGTACAACGCTTCATATAGCTTGGACCTTTTAATGCTGTCGTAGGCACTCTTGAAATCGACAAACAGATGATGTGTTGTCATCCTGTACTCTATGGATTTCTCCAGAATAGTCCTCAGGCTGAACATCTGGTCGACTGTCGATCTTCCTCCCCTGAATCCCGCTTAGTATCTTCCTACTTCCCTACAATTAATTATTGCAAAGATTTTATTTCTTGTTTTTCCACGATCTGAGATGTTTTACAATAAAAATAATTTCCTAAATACTGATTTTTCAAATTTATTTCCGGTTTTACGTTTGGAATAAAGAGACCTGTTCCTTGCTTCAATTATTTTCATGAAGTCGTTAATATTAACATATGAAAAAAATGTCCCGTATAAATACGGATGGATTCTTGTAATACAGATCTGGATGAAAAACACAGTTTCATAAAGAATTTACTGTAAAAATGATTATTGTTCAAAATTATTTTACTAGAAAATAAGAAGTGTATTTAGGCAATTATGTTTATTATAAAACATTCCATATCATGTAGAACAATAAATAAAAGTTTTACAACAATTAATTGTATTTTTTTTTTTTTTTTACAACAGATGTACTGTTATTTGACAGGATAAAAAATCACGTTATTTTTTAATACAAAGTGAGGTGATTTTCAATTTTTTCTCCAATAAACCTCAACATAATTAATACAGACTTAAAGCCTAATAAACGAAGATAGTTGGACGATGATAAAAAAAAATTGCGGATAATTTTTGGTGGTTTTTAAAGCAGGACTTAGCCACTCAAAAGTTCTCTTTAAATGGCTTTAACAATGGCAAACTCAATTTCCATTTAAAGACAATTCTTAAAGTTTTTGTAGCTCTCGAAGTCTGCTATCACTCTTATAAAAATTTCCCTCTACTTACAGGATATTCTGTGTAGTTAGTCCTAGATTTAGCATTTCTTTTTTTAAATTTATCAACATGTAATTTTTTTGTCAAATATTAAGCTTAAATATTGTACTCATCCCATGTCTGTGAAATTAGAGTATTGTTCAAGTTCATTAGAGTGCAACACGCAAACGTTAAAGTAATCTCAAAAGGTATAGTTTTATTACTTACTTCAAAATATACTTTATTCGATATTACGAATCTTTCATAATTTAAATGGGCAACAAATATAGATATTCATTATTATTTATTGATGATGATGATGATGGTAGACATTTGTATAATGTTATTATTGTTAATTTAACACAATATATAATACTGAGAGGCTTACAAGTTTGTGCTGGCAAAGCGAGGAGTTTCAGAGCAGGGCCGACAAAGCTAATATTTGCAGTGGTCGGGCGTCCGTCATTTGAGGTCTTAGCTGTGTCCACATCGGCCCGCGTCTCAGAAGTCCAAGTTAGTGTCGAAAAACAAAAGAAATTGCTCAACGCTAACAGAAATGCCGCCTGTTTCATAAGACTGTAAGATGGTGGCGATTTTTCTTTTTTTTTTTATTCGATACTATTCTATTTCAAATCAGTTATAAGACGTTAGAAGATAACACCAGCTCTTAAATATGTTCTTAGATCTGCTCATTGTGATAAACAGAAGTTCAATAGCAATCTTGTCGCCCCTGTTATTATCGTTTGATTTAAAGACCTAATCAGCTATATGTCAGATAATTTATTATTTTTATATTCTTAGGTGGTTGGTAAAAAAAAAAAAAATCTCAACTTTAGATATTGGAAAATATTTGAAAATTTGTACTTTATCACTTCATCCTGAATATCTCTTAATAGTAATTTATTTGAAAATTGTTCAGT